AGTGAACTGTAGATATGTAGATAAATAAAAACCTAGTTCCTAGGCCTTTTGTGTATCCATATGCTCTTGCACTACCGTCCACAGGATGGATATGGGGTGCACAATAAACTAGCCTCTTCGGTGGCAAAATCTAATCTATCTATTGCCCCTACATTAAGACTACAAATATTTTAAAGTAAGTACTGAGTGAACTGTATATGCATTTTATCGCTCTGGGATGCTTAAATGTCATAGAATATTATGTGTGGGTGGGTTGGCCTGGCTGGTTACCATACACACCACACTTGATTTCTTACAATAAATACTAATCATCTCACCTTAGATTAAGACTACAAATATTTTAAGGTAAGTAATGAGTGAACTGTATATGCATTTCATCTCTCTGGGATGCTTAAATGTCAAAGAATATTGTGTGGGTGGAATGGCCTGGTATGGTAGCCTGGCTGGCTACCATACATACCACACTTGGTTTCTTGCAATAAATGCTACTCACCTCTGACCCTACATTAAGACTACAAATATTTTAAGATAAGCAATGAGTGAGCTGTATATGCATTTTATCGCCCTGGAATGCTTAAATGTCATAGAATATTATGTGTGGGTGGGTTGGCCTGGTATGGTAGCCTGGCTGACTACCATACATACTACTCATCTCACCCTAGAATAAGACTACAAATATTTTAAGGTAAGTAATGAGTGTACTATATGTGTATTTTACTTTTTTATTGTTTTTAATGCCTAGTTTTATTGCTAACTTAATATGTGTTAGTGTAAACTTGTTAGCTAGTATTTATATGAATTTATAAGTGGAAAAAAGGGTGTTCCACTTTACGGCAATTTCCGCTTTACGGCAGTAGCCTGGAACCTAACCTGCCGTATAAGTGGGACCCTACTGTATAGCAACAAACCTACTGGCTGATGCTGTGCAAGTCCTCATATCATACAACCTCCCAGCAATTAACTTCAGCATTGCTTAACTGAACCTCCATCTCACTATGCTCCCTATATATACTCACGTACTCTCTGCTCAGGTAGATCAGTTTGTGACTCCATGAAACCCACTGCTTGGGCTAAGCATTATACTGCATTTGTGTCTTCTTTTCCACCTTTCACAACCTTGATATTTTTAGGAAGGAGGAAGTCAGCGGTACTGAACGGAAAACGGGAGCATAGAGACACACGCAGCAGTTACCATCACAAGTGAGTCACTCACTTGATAGGTAGAAGGCCTTCAACCCCGAAACTACCATTTATGTGAATTTACGCCAGCTGCCAGACTGCCGATGTCGTAAACATACACCTATATTCTATTGCTTCCAAAATGCATCTAAATGGCCTGGTTTGGACTAAATTAGGGAAAACAGGTCTCTCCCATAAGTGTGCATAATAAAAATACAAATCATGTTGTGTGCATATCATTCTGGGATCCAATATATGTTGTTTACATTTGTTTGTATGTTTAGTGTTTGCATCTATTTAGTGAGATTAAAAACAGATAAATCATTAAAAAGAAACTGGAAAAAACATTAAAAATTATAAAACCCAGCAACTTCATCCACTTGGCAAGCAATTATGTGGCCATAAAATCGTCATGAACATCTTCAAACATATATCAGTAATTAATGAACAAAATTCACTAATTCTTGTCTTATTACATACACTTCTAAAATCAGGGAGAATTTTTTGATAAGATAATTTTTTTCAAAAATCGCAGGCACTAGAAGCACATTAATTTTAGAACCTTATGCAGTTTAATGGTTAAAGACACGAGTGAGAGAAATGTAACTCTCTGTTAAGGAATCAAGGTACCACAAAATCAAGACAAATACAACTTGTAAAGTAAAAGGACACAAGTGCAACTAATGTGACATTTATTGTGGCAACGTTTCGCTCTCCAGGAGCTTTATTAAGCCATTACAAACAATACATGGACACAGAGGGTATATAAAGGCTCTGAGTGAGGTGCAATACTAGTGAGGTAACATTTCGATGTTCACTAGTGGTAGTAGTAGTAGTAGTAGTAACAAAAATAATACAATAAGGAAGAGCAATTAATTCGTACATGAGTAAAAGGATATAAAAGCTATTACTTGGGTAACATAAAAATAGGTTGGACAAATATAGACTGGAAAGAGGCAGTTTTTTTTTTTTTTTTTTTTTTTTTTAGTGTTCACTCTCAGTAATGTGCTTTGTGTAGTATAACAGGAGAGACTATGTGATGGCAGGATTTACTGTTTTCAGGAAGATTCTTGCTAAGACTTCGGAGATGGTGAAGCTGCCGTTGTTTTGTTTAATTGTATTCGAAACAAAGATCCGTGCTGATTCGAGGCACTTGCGTCTGCGGAAATTAGTTTCTTTGATCACTAATTGGGCGTCTCTGAATTTCATGAGATGATTGGTGGAATTTCGGTGTTGTACACAGGCGTTGTTTAAGTTGTTCCTACATGCGTAAATGTGTTCATTTAGGCGGGTGTCGAGGTTTCTTGCTGTTTCACCTACGTAGATCTTGTCACAGCCTCCACAGGGTATAGTGTAAACTCCTGCATTGACTGGTTCGTGGTGCTTGGGTTTTGTCCTGGTTAGATCCTTTATTGAAGTGGTAGAAGCGATGGCGACTCTGGTGTTAGCTTGTGAAAGTACTTTTGAGACGTTTAGTGCAAATTTGGCTGTTGGGAAGAATTAAAAACTTTGTTGGGAGCGGTGTTGATGCGTGGAGAATTGATGATCTGAAGAGCTCTTTTCTTGCAGTCTTTGATGAAAAAAGAAGGAAAAATTGTAACTCAGTGAATGTTTGGTGAATGTAAGTGCATTCCTCGTCAAGAAACTCAGGACTACAAATTCGGTATGCTCTTAGGAAAAACCCGATGATGATGCCTCTTTTGGTCTTGGTATCTTGACTGGAATAGAAGTGTGTGAGATCATTTTTATTGGTGGGTTTCCGATAAACTTGAAATCTTAGGTTGTTGTCTACTTTGTGAATGAGGACGTCGAGGAAAGGTAGCTTGTCATTGGACTCTTCTTCTAGTGTAAACTGAATCGCTGGTTCAACTGAGTTGAGCCTTGCCTGAAGATCCAGTACATCAAAACGTTTTGGAGTTATTACGAGGACATCGTCCACGTAACGTAACCAAGTGACGCTTGAAGGATGATGTTGGGCGAAGTGTTCGGACTCTAGGTGTTCCATGTATAAGTTGGCTAGGACGGCACTTATTGGGGATCCCATTCCCATGCCGTAGGTTTGTTTGTAGAGCTTGTTATTGAAAGAAAAACAGTTGAAATTAACACAGAGTTCAATCAAGTCAACAAAATCTCCGGGAGGTAAAGGAAGATTAAGGTCCTGGTTGACTTTACGTCGTAGAACCTCGATGGCTTTTTTGGTAGGTACTTTTGTGAAGAGGGAAGTCACATCCAAACTGCTAAGTTCTTGTTACGGATGGAGAGGTTACGGATGCGGTTGGGGAAGGTCGCCTGAGTGTTTAAGATGAGCGGGGCTGATGGTCCCCAGAAGGCAGGAAAGATGTTTGGCAAGAACTCCGGCTAGTTTGTGTGGAGCACTGCCTATTCCGACGTGATTGGTCTGAGAGGAATATTGTGTTTATGGGTCTTGGGTAAACCATACATGTGTGCTGGTTTAGGGTTGCTTGGTAACAAGTACAGAAGTTTTTTTCCCTTCTCTAGTGCGTTTTGAGTATTTGTCTGGTTTTGTATAGAAAGTCTTTGGTGAGCGTCTCCCACTGTTGAGTGCTGATGGGTTCGTATGTAGATTGATCATTCAAAAGGTCCATCATTTTAGTGTTGTAGTCACTGGTGTTGAGTATGACGACTCCACCTCCTTTGTCGGCGGTGGTGACGATAATGTTGGGGTCGTTGGCGAGGTCCTTAAGGGCAGTGATGTATCTTCTAGGAAGATTAGAAGAAGAAGGTTCACATAAAGCTGCAGTGAGAAGGCCCTGTATATAACCCTTCTGGAAGTTGCTGTCACTGTGTCTATGGTTCCTGGTAACAAGATTGAGTTGATAGCTAGTTTACACTAGAAGAAGAGTCCAATGACAAGCTACCTTTCCTCGACGTCCTCATTCACAAAGTAGACAACAACCTAAGATTTCAAGTTTATCGGAAACCCACCAATAAAAATGATCTCACACACTTCTATTCCAGTCAAGATACCAAGACCAAAAGAGGCATCATCATCGGGTTTTTCCTAAGAGCATACCGAATTTGTAGTCCTGAGTTTCTTGACGAGGAATGCACTTACATTCACCAAACATTCACTGAGTTACAATTCCTTCTTTTTTCATCAAAGACTACAAGAAAAGAGCTCTTCAGATCATCAATTCTCCACGCATCAACACCGCTCCCAACAAAGTTATAATTCTTCCCAACAGCCAGGTTGCACTAAACGTCTCAAAAGTACTTTCACAAGCTAACACCAGAGTCGCCATCGCTTCTACCACTTCAATAAAGGATCTAACCAGGACAAAACCCAAGCACCACGAACCAGTCAATGCAGGAGTTTACACTATACCCTGTGGAGGCTGTGACAAGATCTACGTAGGTGAAACAGCAAGAAACCTCGACACCCCCTAAATGAAAAACATTTACGCATGTAGGAACCACAACTTAAACAACGCCTGTGTACAACACCGAAATTCCACCAATCATCTCATGAAATTCAGAGACGCCCAATTAGTGATCAAAGAAACTAATTTCCGCAGACGCAAGTGCCTTGAATCAGCACGGATCGCTGTTTCGAATACAATTAAACAAAACAACGGCAGCTTCACCATCTCCGAAGTCTTAGCAAGAATCCTCCTGAAAACAGTAAATCCTGCCATCACATAGTCTCTCCTGTTATACTACGCAAAGCACATTACTGAGAGTAAACACTGAAAAAAAAAAAAACCTGCCTCTTTCCAGTCTATATTTGTCCAACCTATTTTTATGTTACCCAAGTAATAGCTTTTATATCCTTTTACTCATGTACGAATTAATTGCTCTTCCTTATTGTATTACTTTTGTCACTACCACTACTACTACTACTACTACTACTACCACTAGTGAACATCGAAATGTTACCTCACTAGTATTGCACCTCACTCTGAGCCTTTATATACCCTCTGTGTCCATGTATTGTTTGTAATGGCTTGATAAAGCTCCTGGAGAGCGAAACGTTGCCACAATAAATGTCACATTAGTTGCACTTGTGTCCTTTTACTTTACATATTGTCGGTAATTCTACCAACTTTATTACAAATACAACTACAAGAAATGATAGACAAACAAATAATGGAGTAAAAATCAATAGCAGCATAGAAATGAAAGAACAAATACAACAAAGAAATGATCTCTTGTGTCTGAAGTTCCTTCTTGGGAGATTCCTTGACTCTGGTGAGGGGCTCTTGATCTAGGGAATTGGATCTGTGCTCCAGTTCCCTGAATTGAGCCTTCCATCCTCCCCCCCCCACAGGCGTTGTATAATCCCTACGGTTTTAGCGGTCCCCGTGATGATGATAATGATAAGTGTCTGGGGCACTGCTCAGACATTCCTACCCAAGCACCTTCACTACGGTATGCTGAAACAAGAGTAGAATTCTATTTAGGAAATACTGTGGAGCAGGAGTACACAAGCAAAGATTCTGCAATAATTACTTAACGAGTACCTGGATGCCTGGTTTCAAGTACCTTCTGAGGCTTTTGACCAACTAGCCAGAGTTGTGGGGAAATCAGAATTTTGTTGAGATATGTTCCATTTCCTTACATATCAGAGGACATACAATGTGGTTTTGCAATGTTATTCAGTGAACTACCATCTTAATAATGTTAACATCACCCAGTGCCCTTCCCTACCCTAACACCTATTCTTGCAGTCTTATACATTCATTAGATGGATGTATACAGGCAGGTAACACACGACCACATTTCCACTGAGTGTTTGTACATAAGGCATTTTCCCAATTGACTGAGGCATTGCACCCTACCGCTATATACAGTGTTACTTGTACCCTAGACACGACTGTGGTTGAGTTTTCCTGCAGGTACAACGAGGAGATGGAGCTTTCTCTGCAGATATAGACATCAATTACATATACAATTACACCCTTGTAACTTTGCTCACTCCTACTCAGAGACCCACATACCGAGTCACCGCCTATCAACCTCTACAAATTCTCCCTCTCACCTTTTAAAGTACTTCAGCATCTCCCTCTCACTCTTTAGAGCACTTCAGGCACTACAACTTCTAAAACTCACCCTTTAAAGCACGTCAGCCACTACAACTCACTCTTTAAAGCACTTCAGCCACTACCTCTCCCACTCGCCCTTTAATGCACGTCAGCCATTACAACGTTTTGCCAATGCCACCCTCACCTACTCTGCTGTCACTCCTGCTTAGTGCCTGTCTTTACCTACTACATCCTGCCACTACAACCTTTTGTCTTACACCTCCTTACAATGTTGTGCTCTAGTATGTGTCCTGACAAAATAATGTAAGTTTCATTAAGACATTCTATTGGTTTTTAGTATATAAAGCATCCTTGAAGTTTCAGTAGTAGTCTAAGCAGTGTTTGTTAGGTAAGACACATATGCAACAGTTAGGTATCTTTATATCGAAACGTTTCGCCTACACAGGAGGCTTCTTCAACTTTTCTGTACTCGACTGAAGAAGCCTACTGTGTAGGCGAAACGTTTCGATATAAAGATACCTAACTGTTGCATATGTGTCTTACCTAACAACCTGTCGGTATTTTATACCATTTTAATGTTCAGTCTAAGCAGTGCAGTCAGTAAGTCACTAAATTCTGCTGACATCACTCGATAAGTTTTGCTCCTCATGAAAAGAAGATATTTTGTAACACACCAATCATCTTCCACTTTCCTTGGTGGGAGATGGCCATTGTATTTTAAAATATAGTTACACAGTTTGACTAGATTTAGTTCCAGCTCTTGGGTCTCTTTTAATTTTCATGGAGATTTGCTAAACCCATAGGTGCAATTCCTAGAAATAGGAAATAATCAGGTTTAATCCAAGGAAATGAGGAATATCTTCAATTTCCAAGATAATGAGCCCAATGCTAGAATGATGGCTTCATGAGTGAGTACTTCAAAAATTTGTTGTCCCTCTTAAAGGTGTTGATCTATGGCTCCTGGACCTCGTAGAAGGGTTATGACATACCTTCCGGTGATTTTCATAATTGCACACTCTACAACTTATGCTGCACTCTGAACTATTTATTTTATGGGCACTGAAGAACAGCAAGAATTAAAGTTAATGAGATAAAATGAAATACATTAGGGAGTGAAAGTACGAGAAGGAGCTCATGGCTCAAGTGGTAGCACAGAGCGATTGAAAATGTGCTAGTTCACCTAGCACTAAGTAGGCAGCTGGGTGTCAGCCGACTGTTTGAGTCACAGCCTGGGAAAGACTAAAGGTCCCTAATGAAAATAAGCCAGATTCATTGACTTCCTTACATTATCATGGATCACTAACCTTAAAAATTAATTATCTAAATATAATCTCTTCTTCGTTCTACAAGTTTTAGTGTCAGATTGATTTATAATAAGAGTAAGAGTGAAATGTTTGAACACAGGTGCGGCAACGACTTATAATTTTGCTGAAGAAGATGGATCGGTCTAAGGCAGTGTCATCCACACTGTTGGGAAAGCTGACTTCCTTGGGAATGTTTCACATTACTGCTTGGGACGAGCAGTTTGGATATTAAACCTAATATGAAATAAGAAGTCCAGTCAAATGACTAGTAAGAAATATAACTCAAAGGGCTGCAATTCCTGAATACCTAAATAGAGTTTTGGGGGTCAAAGCCCCCGTGGCCCAGTGTGTGACCAGGTCTCATGGTGGATCAGGGCCTGACCAACCAGGCTGTTACTGTTGGCCGCACGCAACTCGACGTATGAACCACAGTCCTGCACATAAATGGCATAAAAAATTGCTCGGTGACCCCAAATCCTCTTAAGCAACATTACCAAAACAAATCTTTTGAAGGGATGAGAGGCGTAAAAAAAAACCTCAGTCAGTTAAGAGTTAGTGATGAAAAATGTTTGTAAATCAATGATCCATAAGGGGGGGGGGGGTCTTAGTGTTTAGAATTTCAGAAAATTCATCACTTTGGTCAAAAATTTTATAGATCATAAGCACTATATATAGTGCATTAATACACGTAAAATATTAAGTCCTACCACAGTAGTATTTAATTCAAAGCTTTATTTAATTTTCCAAGAAAAAGTCTCCTAGGTTAACACTAGTATAAAACACCACATTGTACATCACCTTCATAATGTTGAATATACTGGTGGAAATTATAGCTTACCTCTGTTTATTTTTGACTGCCAGAATTGCCATCGAAGGATCCCTGTGATTGTTGAGCCATATATATTCTTCCATGTCTTCTTTTTCAATGATGTTCCTCCCATATTCCTCCATATCCATGTGATGGCTGAGCCATATATATTCTTCTTTTTCAATGATGTTCTCCCTATATTCCCCCATATTCATGTAATGGCTAAGCCATATATATTCTGCCATGACTTCATTTTCAATGATGCTCTCCTTATATTTCTCTGCAAGGTTAAGCAAGCAGTTCTTACACATTTCAATGTTCTCCGGAGTCCCCATTATCACAAGTGAATTTTTGTTACCATATTGCTGAGGGAACCTTATCTTCACCTGTAAGTGCATACAAGAATATCTTATACCTCAGCTAAACAAAAACAAAAAATTAAATTGTATTGTTTTAAAAATGTCATCTGATTTGTCAGTAAACATTATATGTCTGTTTTTTTAATTAGATAATTTCTCTAAGATATTTTGTGATAAAATCTGTAAGTGATAATACTAAGCTTATCTTGCCCTATAGTACTGGGTTTTTATGGACATTTAATCTTTTCTAAAGAATTGTAGAGAAAATGTCTATCAATTATTATCATCAAACTGTGAAAAGGGAAGACATATAAAATTTTAAAATATATTTTTTTCATGAAAGTTGAAGAAAATGAAGAAAATCTTTCACCAACAATCGAACAGCACTGAGACCTGGACACCTTCAAATAGAAAAAAAATTCAAGAAGTATTTATATGACAGTTTGGTAATTTAATCAAGATACATTTGTGACTTCTCTTCACATACATCAAATATAAAAATAAATATATATGTACAGGAGGGTCCCGCTTATACAGCAGGTTAGAATCCAGGCTACTGCTGTGAAAATAAAATCATTATAGATTGAAACATAGCCTTTTATCACTTTCAAATGCAATTAAATGCCAGATAAAACACACACAAAACTTTAAAATATTTTCGCTCTTAGCTTATAGTGAGTGGTGAATATATTTATTGTAGGAATTCTGAATCAGTGAAGAATGTATATTATTGAAAACTGCTGCATTTGTGAAATGCCATAAAGTGAAGCGCTGTAAAGTGGGTTCTAAATGGGGTAAGTGTGCTCTGAAATTCCTGAAAGAAAAATTGAACTTGAACTTACGACCAGAGCTTTCCTGAAAGAGTTAGGTGAAAAACTCATCACAGACACCAAGGACTCCAAAGTGGCCAGCTTCCTCTTACAGAGACTTAGTGATGTGATCCAGAAGTAAAATATCTGCAGCGTTCTGTGCACATGGCACAATGCCAGGGAGCTGGTTGAAGTATTTGAGATGTAGGCTCAGAGAAGTCATTTATATTGTTCTCCTTCCTATTATACATTTGTTAATGTATTTTGTTAAAAGAAAGTTCACATAGCGAATAGGGGTTAGTGAGTGAAGAAAATACTCAAACAGCTCTGGAAAAAAATCTTTAGATTTCCAAAAGAATGTCTATTCTCTTGTCTGAGGATGAGGGTTCCCATTAAAGTTCTAGAGGTGGTGTGAAGCATGGGTGATGAATGTTACAACAAAGAGAAGGCTGGAGGCAGTGTATATGTCCCCTGCTCCTGCGAATTCCTTGCACTGTTAAAATCTCTAGTTGATCGATGCATGAAGGGGATGAGATGA